TCTCTCTCTCTCTCTCTCTCTCTCTCTCTCTCTCTCTCTCTCTCTCTCTCTCTCTCTCTCTCATTTATCTGCAATTTTCACAGTCCAAATCCATTAATCGCCTTTTCAATTTAGATTATAATTTTTCTCTCTGAGTTTTGCAGCGTTATTATGTGATATGTAAAAAACATGTCAGCCAACAATTATCAATTATATTTTCCATAGATTTGCTACAATGGCAATTTATCGCGTATGACGTTTTATATTTATTTTTTTCTCAAATTTAACAATAGTTATTAGAGATGGCTCAATAACATAAAATAAAAAAGGGAAGGAGCATAGTCATGCATGCAAAAAATTTTTTGCCATATATTTCAAATTAAAAGTGTAAACGTTTCGGCCAAGTCTTGGCCATCATCAGTACAATAAACGAATGGGAGATGTTAAATACTAGAACGCCAATTAAACTTTTGTGTCATTTAGCGTACAAAACTTATTAATATTTTAACTTATTACAGCTTTAAATTACTTTCCTTTCAAAATTGCACACGGATTTATTTTCCGAAACCTTATGTTTTATAACTGTTAACTGAAATATTTAAAAGTTATATTGTTGAAAGTTTCGCGTAATTAGCGAATGGCAGTTCTATCTAATGCATGTCGCAATCGTAGTTTGAAACTTAGCATTGATTAATTTTTCATGTTCATGTTTCAGTAAGTATACCAACGTAGATAGAGCGTACAAGGCCGCGCGTTAGATAGCTCGCGTTGCGTTAATTCTCACGAAGACACGCGCTTTCTATGTTTCATAAATCGATTCTTACTGGTAAGCCAAATATGAAACAAATAGTCGAACAAACAACAAAATCAAAGAATCAAAGACTGGAAGAAGAATCTTAGTCCTAGATATACACATTGAAATTCCAGAAACCTCAATGCAATTTGCTAAATCGAGATTTTTTTTCATATTTCTAAAAACTTTTCTTTTTCTTTAAACCTATATATCTCGAAGCTACTTAATTCTATTGATCTTAATTCTATTTTACACATTATAGACTTGTTTCTTAATCAATTCTCCATCGATTGAAGAAAAAAATTAATTGAAACATGTCCATTTTTACGGAAGTTATGGTAACAAATATGGATGGAATCCCAGGGACTTTAGTGTATATATATCAAGGATAAAAAAAAGTGTGTATAGTTAAGAAGAAAAAGTAATGAGAAAACGAATGCAACTCGTTTTATTTACGATGTATATAATATGGAAAACAATGTAAATGAAAATATCGAACATAACATTGAAAGAAAGGAGGGAGGAAAAGAGAGAGAGAGAGAGAGAGAGAGAGAGAGAGAGAGAGAGAAATATGATTTCTAACTTTGATCGTAATTTGTAATTTTGATTTCCGTATCAAAGAGGACTGACATCTAGAGTCGTGAAACGTTCAGTTAACTTTGTTGGGAAGCATTTCAAGCATGAAGCGTATGATGCATCTCATTTGTCTTTGTTGTTTAACAAATAATAAAGAAGAAAAATGATACATCATGTGCTTCATGCGTAATTCAGAATGCACTCATACGTACCTATATTGGAGGTTTATATAGATATTTTACTTGTATTTGATTTATTGTTGGAACTATAAAACTATTTTTATTTTTATTTATAACTATGAGTTATCCGTGATTGAAAAATTGCCTATATTAACGCATCAGCCTACTTTATTGGTTCCTAAGAGGAAGGACTATCGTGTGCTTTTCTTTGTCTTGCAAAGTGACCAACATGATGCGCAGCGCTTCGAGAAGAGCATGAGTTTATTATTTCAACAAAGGGTAGAATCACTGTGGCGCCCGCATGTAACTATCCATGAATCTTCTGTGCTAACATTCGCGGTGTTTTGCTACGGAAAGTAACTGTGGGTTTTCTTAGTAGCCCCTCGTGCTTTTCGCTTCATTGATATACTCTTATCTAGCAAGATTTAATTAAACCACTTAATTAAGTTGCGTCTCGCAACGGAGCAAAGTACCCGTCTATCTATCTTATACACGAGAGAAGCGCGGAAAAGATGAACTTTTTGTTTTGTTACAACATCAGCACGATGCTGAAGAGCACGAAAGAAAATGAAAACAGACTGAGAATGTATTCACGCAAGTTACGTACAGCTGTAGCAGCTGTTAACTCGAATAACAGCGATTACATGCTTTGTTAGCTCATTGTTGACGAATTACATATCTAATCGTATTATCCGTATAATATGATGGCTGCATTTACTATCTATCGCATGTATTTTTTTTACAATGAAAAATTATTGGTATTATTTTCATTTATCGACTAAAAAAGTATATATTTATTACTTTTTTTATAAAAGAAAAAACGTTACTTGCGCGAAATCCGGAAAGTTAAACTAACTATTAAATCTACATGAAGCCACCCAAGTGGAAGGTTCTGCACTATGACTATGATAAATTATACAGTGGTGACTATTGATTTCACCGCGGCTAAGGTCAGACGCTACGGCAAAATCGAGTACGAGCAGTAACCACTGGTCAGCAAACAAATTCAATCTTTTTGCTCCAAATAGCGAAACTCTTGTTATATCGACCTCACTTTCCAAAAAAATCTCGAGGTTAATTTACGCTGAAGAAATAAATCTCCAGATAAATACATTAATTAGATGTAATCAAAGAATGATTATAAAATTAACCTTGCTAATCTGTCCAAAACTATAATATATCATCATATCGTTTGGTTTAATATAATTACAAAAAATAAAAAATTTTAATAAAAAAAAGATATTACATTAACAAATCTTAGAAAATATTATGAAATATTATAATCAAATATTAGAGAAAAAGAAAAGAAAAAATTTTGAAATAAAATATTAATAAGAAAATAAATTTTGGGGCAAAGACCCGAAGAGCAGAGTTAAAAAAATCTAGTATTTTGAGAAATGCACATAAAGACATATATCGAATATGAAATAAAATATATTTTATCGAAATTCGATAACTTGCGTTTAAATCTTATCTCGATTCTCGTATAAATCTTTAATATCTATTTTTTAGAAGAAGAATTTAGGACGGAAGATGCCTACTAAATTTGCGACTTTCTTGCTAGCGACCGATAAATCTTTACGTGCGACAACGCGTTATATTGATTTATTTCCGCCAGCAATAACCGTAAAGTAGTGTAACACTTCGTGCAGATGTTTATCTCGGCTGTTACGACAAAAGATGGCAAGATGTTCTCGTAATATTCGGTAGACGAGAAAAATGTTTCCTATGTTATTAAAAGTTTTCTTAAAATGACAACAAATTGAGAATATTAGTAATATTGTTTCACAGAAACGATTTCGTTTTACTATGGAATTAAGTTTTAGTTTGAAATTACGCCTTGCTTTTCGTCCGTCTTTTTCTACATATGTACATGTAGATACTTGCAAGGACACTTGCAAGGACTACTTTGAATTTATAATTTAAACGCATTATACGTATCTAAACCGTAGACTAACAACTGAAAAGTTGATAATGCACCTCCAAGTACATGTTTGCTACGTTTCTTATGTTACATAATAGGTCGTTGTGTGTGTGTGTGTGTGTGTGTGTGTGTGTGTGTGTGTGTTATATTTATTTATATTTAAATATACATATATGTATATGTATGTACATAAACAGGATATATCTGGATTTTCCATACTTTGACAGTATGTTTTATGAGCAGAAATAAGAAAAAAATGTTATGTAAACATAATTTTTAAATGCTTTATTATAAAATATGAAATAAATAAAATATGAAATATATAAAAAACAATTTTATCTAAATTTACATTTCAAATTGTTATCTGTCCATACAAGTTTGACATCGATGTAATTTTGAATTTAGCATTTTTTTGTAAGGGCAGAGAAAATTTTTTTTATAAGAAATTGTTTTTTCTATTCTAACAAAAAAAAAATTATAAATTATATCGATATCAAACTTGTATTGACATAGATGAATGACAATTTGAAATGCAAACTTGGACAGAAGATACACTGGTACAATAGTTAGAGTGAGATAGGTATGAATTTGTTTCATTCTAACTTATTACATTAATTCAAAACTAATTCAGAATTCTTCGAAAAAGAACAGACTTGCTTGATTTCATTTGCGCTACTTTTTTTGTTTTTAATTATTCAATTGCGCTTTTACTGTTCTAATGTTCAAAATTTTAGGTCATACGTACGGAAGGAACGATTTCTCTCTCTCTCTCTCTCTCTCTCTCTCTCTCTCTCTCTCTCTCTCTCTCTCTCTCTCAAATATCTAAAAAATTTAGCTAGATATACATCCGAAAATAATTTTGTAATCATCAAAATAATTACGTAGAAATCTCACGCACGATGTAAAATACTGCAAAAAATTTCAACATTCCTGCAATCAGATTGAGCGTTCTACATAATTATTTTGATGGTCTAACAAAATTATTTTCAGATTTGTATGTAAATTTTTAGATACTTCAGTAAAATTGTCCTTTTCGTATATCGTTGTGACATGCCGTCGTATATTTGGCATATGTCGTGAACTGTCATTGTATTAAAAAATCTGTAATTATTGGCGAAAAATCAACAAATAATATTCACCGTCTTTTCTGTAGTAAAGAATCTCGAAGTGCTTTTCGACGCCAGCAACAAGAGCGTCTCGTAAGGCTGCAACCGCGTGCGGTGATGTCATTGGTCCATGGAGGAAGTCGCAGACTGCTGGTCGCTGCATCACCTCGGCCCTTGAGAAGCCCGTCAGCCGACAGAATCCGTCCGAGCAATAGATAATGTGGCATAGTCCTTGCTGCGCGTTCGCTACTAAAAAGCTTCGATCTGTAACAGATGCCAGATATACCTTGAAACGATTAATTTCTTTGCGGAATAATTTTAAATGGTTTTAATCAGTGTTCCCTAGAGGTCATGTGAATATAAATTTGTAATATTCTTATATGCGTAAAAGTTACAATTGAATATTCCTCTCTTACTTATTTGGGGATCATAGTAAATACAAAACATAATTTTTCGTACTTGAAACATCATTAAAATGATTTTATGAATTAAAATTTTGCATGTTTTATATAATTCGAATTTTAAGTTAATGAAATGCTATTTAAATGAATAAAAGTATGTCCAACTTACTTCCTAGATTATTCTTTCATATTTCATCAATTTATCATATCTTTATGTTTTTCATAATTTAAATCCTTGATTATGCACTAAAAATAAATGCACTATAAAATATGCAAGCAAATTATATTGCATCATATTATTTAATTGTTTGTGACATTTTTCCTCCCTCCTTCCTCCCCCCCCCCCCATAGGAGGTGGCATCTTATCTGTATATATGTATAGGGGGAAGATGCCACTTTTGCAGGATATGACATATCAATTTTTTTTAATAATACATCAAAAATTTAATTTATTAATTTGTATGTATAATAAAGAAAGATTGATAGAATGTAAATAATATGTTTTCGTTCGTTAATTCAATAACATTAAGAAGTTATTCAAAAATAAAGGCTTAAATGTGGCGTCTTCCCCTCAATGACCTTAATAACGGTGATTACGCGGCAACTTCGTTAAGTTTACTGCAACTTCAATAGCTCATTAAGATAGGTAGCGATAATATATTTCTGGGGTATCTAAATTTAACATTCACTATAAGCCTATACAAGATGGACGTTTCTCTTGTTAACAATAATTCGAGAACGCCTTGGCATTTATATTTATCGCTCGTGCTCGCTGCAAATTAACGCAAATGACCTATTCTGCTTGTACATACGTAGCTGCTAGCAATATTCTGTGACTGTTATGAGAACGGATAGTTTTGCTGGAGTATCTAAAAATTTTGTTAGGTACCAATCTAAAGATAATTTTGTTATATCATCTAAATAATTGTTTACAATTGTTAGGTACAGAGCAGGCGAAGTAAATTTTTTCTATGTATGAAGTTTTAGTTGGTGGAGGGGGGGGCTAGGGGGAGGAATGACATTAATATTTTAGATTGTTCTGTTGACACACACACACACACACACATCTATCTGAAATCTTATTCTCAACATAATTAAACGAAAAATATCTAATATAAATTGAATGAATACATATCTTCTAGCGAGGTATATATGGAATTCTATAGCTTAGAAATTTGTATATATGAAGAGTTTCAGATCGACTCTACTGAAGTCTTGTTACGTATTAAGGAAACAATGATAAATCAATCTCTTGAGTTAAAAATAACATTTTAACAAGGTTGGGTAATGTTAATAATAAGTTGAAAGTTAAAAGTTAAGTTAAAAAGTTAAAATGTTAATTAATTTTAACTTCATTTACATTTTAACTTCAGTTACATTTTAGATTCTTAATTTTTTAACTTTATATAGTTATGTTTTATCGGTAACTACGGTTAACTTTTAGTTTGATATTTTAAAAGTTAATATCAGGATTGAGCAGTTGGCGTTATATGGATTCTATCGGATTACATCCTTATACATTCGTGTCTGTCGGAAATGTATTTTTTTTATTTTAAATAATTTCAAATATTTCATTTATGTTTAAACAAAGAATAAAGAGAGATTTGAAAGCGGTCTGTCGTCGTGATCTAAAATTGCAATTTTCTTGAAAAATACGCAGAAGTGCAATTTACTAATTTACTAATTTACAGATATTACTTTTTAGTTTTTTAATTTAGTTAAAAAAAAAATTGACTTTTAATTACGAAATAAAACAAATTTAACTTTTATCTTGTAAGTTTCAAAGCTGTTTACTTTAATTTGATCTAAGTTAAAAAAAAATGTTAACTTATCTAACTCTGAATTTTATTATTTTTGACTTTCAAGTGTGTCAAAATGTAAAGCAATCCATTTCTAGTTGAATTTCGTAGTTTCAAAATATATAATGTCAACATTTGCACTTATAATATTGTTAATAAATAATAAATCAAATTTTGACCAAATTTATAACATTTCTTGAGTTAAATTCTTTCATGTTTAAATTAACGATATATTGAGCAGTAGCGACTTATAGAAATAATTAAAAATTGTCCGAATTGAGTAGAATACAGAGTACGCACTTTCTTTTTATGCTGTATAATATGTACAAAAAATGCTGTTTAAGCTATTTCTTACAATTTGAATTACTAAAAGTATGTCAAATATAAATTTGATACAAGCACTCATTTTTACAGGAAATTAATTTTACTAAGAAGATAATAATGCATATTCTTATTTCTTGACAAGTGTCTTCTCAAGACTACATATTATAAAAAAAGTGTCGCTTATTGTATAAAAACAATATTGATTAAGATAAAAAAATATTTATTTTTAATGGAATATAAATCTTTATGTATACTTGAAGTATTTTTTATGTGCAGAATATTTTTTTATATAAGTAAATTTTCAATCAATACTTGATCCCAATCGATATGGTTAAAGCCAGTAGCTTTGGCACTAGATCCAATTTTCACTGAATTTAGAAGTTCAAATACAAATCGTTAAAAAATATGTAAGCTGTCGTAAAAAATATGTACCGTCGTTATCGTCGGCATTGTTTCCAGGCTGAATCAAGTTTTCAAGTGCGCACTTTTATAGACAATCACATTATTTTTTATTAATATAACTGTATAAAAACTATTACATTGCAAATATTATGCATGTAAATATATCACTAAATACGAAGCAGAGACATGCACACCATATAAATGATACAGATTCACAAAGTGATATAATTTAATGTAAAAACTGATAAATTTATTCGTGACAAATACAATAAGAAAATGATCAAAATTACAAAATTTAGTATATCTCCTTTATCGCAACGATCACCATTGTCTTTTATACATATAGGTTAACCAAAAAGGCATATTCTGTGTGAATTAGGTATAACTGCTATGTTTTAATAATTACGCCATAAAGATTAATGCGTTCTCTTAAACGATCCATACTCTTAGACGAACTTACTCTATGATTTGACATCATGAATTTAACAATCTAAAACTCTCAAGCATGATAAGCAGTGTTATAAAAAGTGTTGACATTCTAGTCAATCTCAATTTAAGTGTCCTACTTAATTATTTTGATGACAAAAATATTTTTAGATCGATATCTAGCTTTTTAGATTTTTTAGCTGTTCTTTATATATTTTTAGCAAATATCGCTTCTTTCCTTTGAAATCCGTTCTATTAAACATAAAAAAAATTTATGCGTCATTTCTCGCCGTTAGTAACACGCAAACATAATATAAATCCAGCAACTGATAAATTTTGATCATACTTGTCGAAAATTTCTGATCGACGGAGATCAATCGTTATGGCAACGGACGATATGATTGACGAAATCGCCAGATCCGCTCAAAGAGCGTCCGCTCGACGACCTTCGTCCTAAATCTGGCGACAGTCCGAAAGTGCACATCATAAAATATTCTCATACCGCGGCCATTAAGGCCGTCTATCACGCAACTGCGAGTTGTCGGCTTTGTTCAAGACTGCACGGATCGCCATTGTCTACGTTTTTCGTTGAAAAAGAATTATTCGACGCTGAACCGAGGATGAAAGACCGATACATCTTTTAACCCTCCCCCGAAGAGCGGAATAATCGATTTTATTTCCCGTTGACAAACCTTCAAAATGCGTCTTAACTGGCGACACGACGTTGCAACCACAACGCCGACGCCGACGTCGACATTCGCAGTCATTCGGAGAATTTATATCGAATGCATGTGGCTCATTTATGCAGTTATGCGAAGCTTTGCAAATGACATTCTATGTAGAAACGCTTTTGGGATATTCGCTAGCTGTTAGCCAACTATGCAAGAAATTGCACAGATTATGGACAGATAAAAGAATAAAAGAAGATTGTGATCTTAAAATATAAGTCTGTTATAAATTTCTTTTTTGTTAAAAAGATAGTATATATTATTATGCTACTTCAAAATGTTCAAAACAACTAAAAGAATTAAATTTTTCAGGAAAAGAGAAAAACTATTTTTCAACTTAAGAGAAAATTATTGCTAAATTAAATAACATTGGCAAAATATATTCTTAGAAATATGATCAAATGTCATTTTTGTCAATTCTCATTAAAAAATTTTTCATGCATGAATATGTAGAAATATGTATAATCTTACAAAAATATGTATAATTATATATGAAATGTGTCCATATATGTTCATACATCCTTCTTTCTTTTGTAAAATTACTTTTTAGTTTAATAGAAATAATAATAGTAATATGAAAACATAAAAAAGAAATTAAAAAGGTAATTTTCGCATTGTTTGTTTTAAAAAAAAAGTTTGTATGTACATATAAATATGTAAAAAAATTGCTCATACATAATTATGCATAATTTTATATAATAATTTTTTTACATTTCTTCAAACTTGATTTTTTTCTAAAACAAATGATGCAAAAAATTATCTTTTTAATTATTTTTCATGTTTTCACATTAGTACTATTATTCCTATTATTAAAAAGTAATTTTACAAAAGAAAAAAGGATGTATGAACACTATGAACATATTTCATATATAATTATACATGTTTATAAATATTTATGCGTATTTGTGTACAACTTTGCTTCCACCGTTTTCCTATAGATGGCTTTAGCGGTAAGTGGTGGTCGAAATAAATAGATCACAGACGTCATACAATAAACTTGGGCATCTGTCAACATAACCCCATAGAAACATTAATCGATTTGTGTCTGCATCATAAAGTTATTCTCGATTGAAAATGTCAGTTTAGCCAAATTCTCGTCATTTGCGGGAGGTTTTAATTTTTTGCTTCAATATGAAGAAATCTGCGGTTGAGGCTTATCGAGTGCTCTCAAATACTTATGGTAA